AGAAGGGACCCTATGGATTATCGAATGTACGAAGGGAATGCAATACAGGACATACAATAAATATGCCAGTAACATGGTGACACTATAACAATTACATACTGTTAAAAAAATCTGTGGTTGTCCAAAGATGCTCACTGAATAAGTTCCGTGAGAAATCTTGTAGCCAGATTCCCCACCTCCCATTTTTTGAGGTGGCAAGGGAAACAGCACATCTAAAAACCTTATTGGGAAGATAATAATTGATGTTTATTGTTCAGAATCCTGGTCAGGTCTAAATGGCCAAAAAAGAGAATGGCTTTCCTGTCTCCTGGTTTGCTCTCTGGCAGAGTGCAGTCTTTGGAAAGGAGGCACAGAATTCCTTTTTTAGAAGGACGGATTAATCATTGGAAGGTGTATTGTGCAGTTCCATGGTCTGAGACTAATGATGTCTCACCATACAAGCTTTCTAACTGAGGGAGTATTGGGGAATAGTATGTACACTATCAAAATTTTTGCACAAATGGAGCAGTGTAAATGTAGAAATGAACGCCAAGAGCTTTCTAAGTGACTTGTTTTCAGGTTCTGGAATTTTCTGTTGAGGAAGTTTAGCCTTCCCTCCCCCTCCCCATGTCCTCCTATCCTTTTGCCAGCAGGTGAAGATCTTTTTATTCTATTAGACCAATGGTTCCCAACCTTGGATAACCCAGGTGTTCTTGGACTGCAATTCCCAGAAGCCTTCACCACCAGCTGTGCTAGCCAGGGTTTCTGGGAGTTGCAGTCCAAGGACACCAGGGTTACTCAAAGTTGGGAGCTACTGCATTAGGCTATTGTTAAGAGAGACTCTGACTACAGTACTTGGGTGGTGATGCCCTCTTGGTAGATTTTTAATTGGGTGGTCAATTTGTTTTTAAAGATTTAATTGTATTTCTTTTTCTGTAATTTTACCACTGCCCACAGGCTTGAATACCACTTATTGGCAGCAAGCTCAAAAATAAATTTTCAAAAATGAGCAAATATAATATGCATGCATATGTAATGGATTTCCATCTAGTGAAAAATATTCTCATGAAGAGGATTGTGAAATTATAAAACAACTGGATAAAATGGCAAGAGCATGTAATTTTAGCTGTCATAATAGTAACATTGAAAAGAAAATTTTTGAATGCTGAGGCCGCAGTTGAAGCAGAAATAGCTTCTTTAAAAAAAAAAAAAGCCAGGATTCAGCCAGATCCTTTCAAACAAAATCAAAGCATTTGTTGGAAGTTTCTCATGCAGTTCCCCATTTTTCCTCTCTTAAAAGGCTATTGAGATGAGAAGCACAGCCTCCTCTGCTTAAAAGAAAATGTTTGACATGGAGCCATCACATGCATGTCTTCTTAGCTATAAATAGCTTTTTATTTTCACATTGATCCTAGTTTAAAAAAAATCAAACCAGACTGGTGGTAGAAATGGGGGTATTTAATGAGACCTGCCAAAGTGTGAATGATTTAAGAATTCCCTACCCCTAAGTATAATAAGTGAAATAAATATCGAAGTTTATATGTGACTGAATGATAGATGCCTTGTGTCTTTCTTTATAGGAATTTATAGAATACTGTTTCAGTAGGTTCCCTTGATGACTAAATCAAAAGCACAGAGTCCAGACATATACTATATGTTCATCTCTTCCTCAGTGCTGATCAAATAGCAACCTTCTCTGCCTTGGTGGTCTCCAGATATTTTGAATTGCAACTCCCATCAGTCTCAACATCTCGGACTGGTGGTTGTCCGAGATGTTGAGACTGATGCTAGGTTGCAAAGTGGTTATATAGGTTACACTGAGAACTATTTCTTTATAAAAGTGTATAGAGCTAATATCTTGACTGTGCCTTTATTATTTAGCAAACTATAATGGTCTACTTCAGACGTGTTTTTTAAAACTAATAAGTTGATAAAAGTGAGAACAAGCATTCCCTTCTTGTGTGCAGCGTCAGTGTTTTTGCTGTGATTAGTCTAAAACAGTTTGCTCTTACACTCAAAACTGGGAAACTGGCTTAATCAAAATTCAATCTCCAGGATATGAAATCAAGCCCCTATCTTTTTACTGTTGTCCGTGGATTCCTTCTCCCTCTCCTCACTGATTCTGGGATAATCAGAGCTATAACCAGCAATGCTGGAACTCAGTACAAGCAGCACGAAATGTGCCTATCAGACCCTGCCCCCAGCCCATGTAGCACACAGGGATCTTTGCCAGATCTCTCGGCCCATCGCAAGAGCCGCATGGAGAGCAGTCAGAGCAATGTAGAAAGCAAGTGAATGTCATTTTCCTTTTTGGCTCACTGCTGCATCCCTGGCAGTCTTCCTTGCTCTGTTGCCAGCTTTCCACTGCCCACTGCCAGCATGTTGCACCAATGCCTACAGTATCCTGGCCTGATATGGAATGGAAACAGGATGTGGGGAGCTATGACATTGGGATTTGGGAGCCCAAGATGTAGACTAAACATGTGTAGCTATATGGTTTCCTGAAAATTAGTGGAGATGCAAGGCTTATAAAAGCAAGATGCCCAATGGCAAGAAATAAATAGGCTCCTGGGTTGGTGGTTTTGCTTAGTTGTTGGTTTTGCTTCTTTTCAGTTTCAGTAACCTGTATCAAAGGCCCACTTGCCGTAGCTACAGCTCTGCAGTGTCTCAGGAATGCTTGTGTATTAACTTACAGATTTTAAACATTTTAAAATTGGATTTAATCAAGGTTTTTAATCTTACTATTTGTTTAAATGTATTTATTATATTTATATAGTATTTTTTAAACTATTGTTTTATAGTTTTAGCTATTGTGAGCTGCCTTGAGTGCTCTATGGGGACGGACGGACGGACGGACGGACGGACGGACGGACGGACGGACGGACGGACGGACGGACGGACGGACAGACAGACAGACAGACAGACAGATAGATAGATAGATAGATAGATAGATAGATAGATAGATAGATAGATAGATAGATAGATAGATAGATAGATAGATAGATAGATAGATAGATTCCCACTGCATTAGCAGTAATAAAGGAAATTACCATTTCCATTCAGAATGCAATTGAACTTTCAGATAACTTACAGTTCAGAGAAAATCTATCATGGAAAAGCTGAACTGGAACTCACTAATTGTACAGTAAAGAAAAAGAAACAAAATGACTGGAATTTTGTTGTTTTGGTATCAGTTTCATACTGTTAATCAGCTGTGTAATATTGAATTATACAGTGGCTTTAGGACTACTTAACAGTAAAATGAGTAAACAGTACAATCAGTTTCTAAACTGACAAAATAGGAAAACATAAATGACATTAAATATGATGTTCATAGTGGATTAAAAGGTAAAGGTAAAGGTTTCCCTTGACAGTTTGTCCAGTCATGTCCGACTCTAGGCGGCTGTGCTCATCTCCGTTTCCAACCCATAGAGATAGCATTTGTCCGCAGACAATCATCCATGGTCACGTGGCCAGCGTGACTGGACACGGAACGCCATTTACCTTCCCACCGAGGTGGTACCTATTTATCTACTTGCATTTTTGCATTTTGCATGCTTTCGAACTGCTAGGTTGGCGGGAGCTGGGACAAGAGATGGGGGCTCACTCCGTCGTGTGGATTCGATCTTACAAATGGAGGTCTTCTGACCTTGCAGCACAGAGGCTTCAGCGGTTTAACCCGCAGCGCCGCCACGTCCCTTCATAGTGGATTAAAGGTTTTCAAAGCTTTAAAATCCTAGGAGAATAAAAGTTTTCTTCCTTTGTCTTGAAGTGACAACTGTGTAGGTGCCAGGTGAGTTTTCTGGGGAGAGGGCCTCAGACTATTGTCTCTCAGTAATTGGGCACACTAGTGTGAGTGACAATGGTCCGTCCTAGGCCATCAGTCATGTGAGGCTTTAAAAGTAAGTTCTACCACTTTGATTGGAGCTTTAAAAAGGAATAGAAGTCAGACTGGGAATTATTTAACTCTGAGTGAAATAAGATCCAAACATCCAGTCTCAGTTAGATCAAAGCATAGCTATAAGGCTGCTAACTATAGCTTCCAAATGATATTCAAAGCATAATCTGTTTTACAGAAATGACATTATTTGTCTTAGAATAAAAAATTGGGAGGAAAGAATCTGAGAAAATGTGTGTTTTATCAAAAGGAGATCTATGCCTTGTATATGTCTGATTTAGACTGCTTCTCCAAGAAAATTAAAATACAATACTGTACTATTCTTCTCTGTGATAGTAGATAATAAATATGGCCCTGTTTCTTTCACCTACTTTGGGGAAATATTATAGTTTTTATTAAGTGTTGTGAGAGCATTTTAGCTGTTCTTTAATTGTTTAATTTTCGATTAAAAGGATAATCTACCTCAAGTACCGGTATCTTAATCTAAGTAAATGGTATCTCACAGCCATTTTCACAGACAAAAAAAATGACAAATGCAGCCTTTGGGTTCATAAATTGATACATACTTGAAAACTTGTCCAGCATTTTCCATTTTATTCATTTTGTGCATTCTTTTTGATGCCATTTTTCTAGGTACCAGTAGATCTGGAATTTTAAAAAAAGACTAACTTGATAATAAGTTTTTTGTTAACTTGTTTGTTGTGTACTTCAGTGAGCTTTGTGACGTTAAGCTTTGTTTCTAATAATTCAGAATATTTATGAATATGTTTGCAAGCAAACATTTTGTGGAAATAACTGATGTCAACACGGTCTGTAGTTTTAAAACAGAGGGCCAAATCTTATGCGTTACACCCACTGATGTAACCTGTTTGGCATAAACCTTGATGGCAAATTGCTGCAAGTTAAAAAGTAGGCATAAGACATGCAATGTTGCACGCCAGGTCACACAAGTAAGTGCACAACAGCAAATGTCTACACTGACTTCTTAATTTGTGTAGGTTTGCCACCAAGATTGATGCCAGTTGTGTTATGGCAGTGTAGAAACACAATTTGATTTTGCTTGGATTTTTCATTAATAAGTATATTGTATATTGATCAAAATGTTTTTGTGTTTTTCCTAAAGGAGATGCCCACAGTGTTGCTTATTCATCAGATGAACAAGCATGAGGGTGCATGGACAATTTTATCTTTGATGCATGAGTAAGTGCAAAACTCAGATATGAGTTTTAAGCAGCATTTTTTGGTTCAGGTCACATGTGTGTTACAAATAGAACAGTAATGTCCAGTGGAAATATGGCAAAAGATATCGTTTATCTACTGCTGACAATAGATGACATTCTGTGTTGATGCCAAACATCTTCAATTTTATTCGCGAAGGCTTTCATGGCCGGGATCTAATGGTTGTTCTGGGTTTTTCGAGCTCTTTGGACGTGTTCTGAAGGTTGTTCTTCCTGACGTTTCGCCAGTCTCTGTGGCCGGCATCTTCAGAACACGGCCAAAGAGCCCGAAAAACCCAGAACAACCATCTTCAATTTTGTTGAGTTTTCAAAGAGGTATTTAGTCTGTTTCAATATGTACAGCATACTGCTGTTGTGGCAGCTTGAAGACTAACGAAAACAAAAATGAGAGGGTACCTTTCAGCCCAACAGATTTATTTCAGTATCAGTTTTTCTGGATCACAGTCCATGTCTTCAGACATTTCAAGTGTCTAAATAAGTAGATTGTACTTATTTAGACACTTCAAAACTTCAAAAATAAACCTGTTAGTCTGAAATGAACCTTAATGTTTTCTTTTGTGTACAGAATTTTTTTCTGAGCTGGTTTAAACTGGCTTGAAGTTTTAACTGCTGCATGGCTAGAGTATGTTCCTTATTTGGAAAAGTTTTATTTAGAAAAGAAAAGCAAGACCCATCGGAATGCAAACAAAGCAAAGCAAAAAGCAAGCAGATCATGCAAGACCCATTGGAAATGGGGGGGGGGACAAAAAAGCAAGAAATCCTCCCAGGACCCATTGGGAATGGGAGGGCTTCCCCTGGTAGGCCCAGTCTATTCCCTGGGAAAGCCTGAAAGTGCCGATTGCGGTGGCGGCCGACCCCCGGGAGGTCTCTGATGGCGGCAGAGAAGCCCTGGGAGCTTCCCCACCGCCATTGAAGACCTCACGGGGGGTCCCCACCGCCGCGATTGGTGCCTCCTGAGCTCTCAAATGGTTTCTCCCCCACATCGGAGGAAGCCCTTTAAATTTTCTGCCATTTTGCCTTGCCTTTTTGCCTTCGGAGCTCTCAAAGGGCTTCCTCCGATGTCGGGGGAAAAGCCCTTTGAGAGCTCTGAAGGCGCCGATCGCTCCATTGGCATTGACTTGCGAACAGAGCCTCGTTCGTAGGTCAAGGCTCCATTCGCAAGTCAGTGGCAATTTTTTCCAACAGAGCGGTTCGTAAGTCGAAATGTTCGTAACTAGCGTTGTTCGTAAGTCGAGGGTTGACTGTAATACCCTGTCTTAAACTAATTTAGAAACTATCATATCCATGAGTCAAGACCCATAATTAAGATTGTGTTGGGACTGATGAATTCCAAATTAGATGAAGGAAGAGCATTTCCTGATTTTGGTTAATTAATACCCATTGTTAGAATTATTTTGTGATTAATAAATAAATTACAAATTAGATTAAGCCAGAGTATTTCCTGATATTTTGGGAAAGCGACTCAGCTTAGTCAAACCTAATTCACTTCAAGGTTGGGGGATTCATCAGAATTTATGCAACAAACTGCATTCCACAAAAAAATAAAAAAAATTGAAGCCAAATTAAATATGTTTTTTTAATGGATTGCAGGACTTCTTGTTGGTTTGTTGCAATGGACTAACATGGCTACGTCATAGAAAAATAAACAGGGTTGCAGAGATTCATGAATTAGTCTTTTGATGAAAATCAGTTCGTATTATTCTTTAAATTTTTGTAATTCCCTCCTGTTTAGTATCCCATCTTCTTGAACATGCCC